CTTTGCTTTAGACCCATTTTTCTACACAACAGTGAGGCAGGCAAAGATTTCTTTCATTACTGACTACAGAAGATTTTATGATAATCTATAGAAGAACAATTTTAGCAAACTAAATGCCACCTTAGTGGGTCAACTCTCCAACTAGAATTAATTTATAAGTGTCACTTTCATGATTTTAGAATACAGGTGGAAATGAGACAGGCATTACACTTGAGTAGATTTTATCTACAATTGATAAGCTCTTTACTGTTCAGTAATTAAATGAGCATGCTATAATGCTAGGATGAATGGAGAAATCCTGCTGCCAGGTGCTCCAGGGAATCACAAGTGATAAGCCCTGTCTCATACTCCAGACAGCCAGAGCCAGGATGGATGTTTCCAGTGAAACATGTACATCTCGAGACTATTTTCCAACTGTTGCATTGTAATGACAGTTGAAAAGTCCTGGACAGCTACATCTTTTTTACCACTTCCTAATAAAAGGAAATACATACATACATACTGCCAAGTACTGAACACTTCCCACTTGGTCTCTGGTGGTTGTTACATACTCCCCAGAACTCTAAGCTGAGCCTAATAAAATAATAAAAAAATCATTATTGAAATTCCCCCACCAGGGCTAGTTCAAGAGCTGATATATACATACCTCACTGATTTTTGCTGTATTGATGGCCCAGGAACAGAGACCAGCTGCTGCAAAGGATTCTGTATGAACATAATTTAGTTTGAAATGTGGATCCTTCAAGTAATGTTACTTGGCGACCTTCAGACAATGCTGAGAAATATGTTCCTTATCATAGTTGATTAAATCTTGCAAAGAGTCATCAACCTTTAAGAAGTTCCAGTGTTTATAAGGTGCAATTTTTTTGAGAAGAAGAAGCTAAATCCTATTTTCACCTCAAAGGTAAAACTGGAACCCTGCACTAGCTAATTGATTTAGAAATGTTGTTTAGTACAAGGCAAAAATATTTTCCCTAAAATACAGAAGTATTCACTGTCACAAATACAATCTGTGATTTATATCTTGCTTGGGAAATTAGGGGGAAATTGGATAAATATAATGAAATGTTCTCCCTTTCATTTTCTCCTGGCTCTGCATTCAATAAATCCCAGTGGTGCTCAGGCTGGCTTGAGTTTGTCACCAAAGATACACAGAAAAGAGTAATGCAGGCTCAAATTTCTCCCCCTAAATTCAACCTGCAAGAAAAAGAAGATGTGATTTATTTTCTTTTTCTCTGACTCTCTTTTTTAACTGTTATTTTCTTCTTTAATCTCAGATATTATCTGATGTGAAATTAGATATAAAAATCTCAGATATAATATGATCTGAAATTTTATATTTACCTTTCCTATAAAGAGTTTTGTGGCTTTCCAGCTTCCATCCTTAGGCCCTTTCCCTTAATGTGACAGGACTTTGGTTTTGGCTGGGGTAGAGTTAATGTTCTTCACAATGGCTGGTTTGGAGATGTGTTTTGGGTTTGTGCTGAACACAGGGTTGATAATGCAGAGATGTTTTTGTTATTGCTGAGCAGGGCTTGCACAGAGCCAAGGCCTTTTCTGCCTTTTGTACTGCTGTGCTGGTGAGGCTGGGGCTGCATGGGAGGCTGGGGGGAGACACAGGAGAGTTTCGTGTCTTAATCAGTGACACAGACAGTGGGAACAAGTTCACCCTCAGCAAATTTGCAGATGACTCCAAAGTGAGTGGTGTGACTGCCATGCCTGAGGGATGGGGTGTTCCCTAGTGATGCAGGGCAGGACAGCAGGTATCTGTACAAAAAAGCTGGGGGATATTAGGGCAGTGTGTTACTCCTGAGGAGTGACTGAACACAGAGGGGAGCTCAGTAGCCCATGCCATTGCAGTAGGAAGCTGCAAGCCTTTCATGATCTAGGTTCAAATGCAAAATCTGGAGCTAAATAAGAGAGTGAAGACTTTTTGCTAAGATTTTGAGACCCATCAACTTTTTTCCCTCCCTGCCCCTTCTTCCCCTTCAAAGGGTTTTCTTTTAGATAATTAGAGAAAATACCAAGAAGACAATGACTGGTTCAATGTTGCATGGGAGCTTTCCCTAAATAGCAAAATATTCACTCCAGTTTTGAGGTAAAGGAAAACATTTAAAATTTGTCAAACCAGCCTCCATCTTTTGCCAAATTTGCCTCCTTTTTATTCCTCAAGTCTGAAACCATAGGTCACAACAAGGGAGGGAATGGGAGAAATGGAAATATCCTATATGGAAACACCGTACTTAATTTCAGGTTTGGAAATTAAATAATCATCAGTTCAAGCAGCTTTGTCAAGACACTTATTTTGGCTTAACAGTGGCTTAGATCAGTGACTTTACATCAGTTAACATCAGTCTTACATGAAATCTGAGTGCCTCCACAATTTTCTGCAACAATTTATTTACCTGTTTAAAAGCAGATTATGATTTCATTGGTGCAAATTTATGTGGGAGAGTAAACCTGGGGGGCATTCTGTATCATCAGCAATTGTGTATTTGGAAGATTACCATACACACTTCTAAAGATACATTGCCTGAGGCTGAAGTCAGTTATACTTGGTTCATCCTTATCCTTGTACCTCATGCTCATCTCACAGACTCATTTCCTGTCAGGTCTTGCTTAAACCTAGTTTAATTACAGAGAAAGAAGATATTACAGTGATCAAGATGTTAATACTTGTATCAAGCACTCTGCATTGGCAGTAACAAGCCTCTGTAAGAATTTAGTACCCTTACAAAACCTGTTTCTAAAATTGTTTGGTACATTTTCCATGTACACATTTATTTGATAGGACACATACAGCTACTGTCTGTGTGAATAACAAATATTAAAAATCAATTTGCATTACATTATAAATGACAAGTTACTAATCAAGTTAAATATGTCTCTCATCTCCTGTGATGCAGCTTTTATAATTTGTTCCTAATCCTCAGCTAGTGTCACTGTCACACATATACCTACACCATGATCTGCATGTTTTTTGTCTTTAAAAGGGTAGGTCCTGTTTTAAAAGGCAATGGCATGTGCACCTTCACGTGTAAGCTGCTGACAACATTCAGAGCACAATAATGGCCACCAAAATGACCGCGGTGTTACTGCCCACTATTTTAAAACCTTGCCAGTGTCATTTTCATGGTAAAACCCTTGTTTACTACTATACAGGTGTGCAGCCCTACCACAGTTATGTGGAATGCAGACTGACCTCAATTTCCTAATAAGTTGGATCTAAAGTGATTTCCATTCTTCACCTATTCTTTCTTAAGTAATACTTCACTCCAAGTCAATATCTCCAAGGTATTTATTTGCTTAAGGCTGTAAAACTCAAAAAGCTCTTGTAAGCTCCAGTTTAAAATCTATAGAACAGGAGAGCAAAACTAATTTTTTAAAGGGTGACATATTTTAATCAATTAGGAAGAGTCTTCACAAATTACTTAGCTAAAGATGTATTCTCATTTGCTGGCCTTTTTTTGGTAACAAAAAATGAGACAAGATTAGTGTTTAGAACCTATGGTTAGCCTTATGAAACAGTTTTAGATTAATGTAGCACAAAATGACACTTTCATTTCCAATGAAAACATTTCAGATGTGCAATAAAGCAATGAACAGCGGTGTACAGTAATCATTAGTGTCAGGCGCTGAACTTCATCCCTGAAACAAAGTGGCCCAAAGATGTGATTATCTCACAATAATCACTCTATGTGTTTCACCTAGCTGCTTAATGAAGTAATTAAAATTGTGTTAAGGGTGTATTTTGAACATCCAAATTTATCAGAAGCATATGGAACCAATCAAGAAAAAGCATCACATGGAAAGTGTTTGGTAGGATGTTGAACTGTTGGATCACATTTGTACAAGTTTAATTGATTGCACCATTTAGACTTGAAACTTCATGGCCATTTTTAAGTCCTATGCGAGATATGGATCAGCAAAAGGCTGAAGTTAGTATAATCCAGAGAAATGTAAAGGTCCTGATCATGTCTTCATTTATCTCAGTATCAAAAATTACTTTTCTCTCAGTAAAATTAGGATTAGACACAAGGTTTTTGGAAAGGCATTAAATATCACCTGGTAGTAAGTATTTAAGAAACAGAATAGAAGAAAATGAGAGGCCATTTTGAATGTTTAGACAGGACAGTCTTTCCTGCTAATCAATATCTGGAAACTACAAAATCCTTGGAAACTTGAAGTTTCCATATCTCAAAATCAGACTATTAACAACTATTACAAGTCAATTAGGAATTTCTTTCTGCAGTATTGGTCAATGACACAACGTACGAGAGATTTTGTGGCCAAATCCCAGATTTGAATGAGCCTTCCAAACTCTAAAGGCAGAGGAACTTCACTTTACAGCACTCCATACTACTGGTGCTTTATTTCAAAAGCCATGCTTGCAACTGTAGATGGAAATTTTAGACTCCTGATGGAATTATGCATTTCTGTTCATTCTGTGGTGAACAGTAAAGCATGTGAGCCTCTGAGTTTCCAACACAGATGTTGATAACTCATGCTAATAGGCTGAACTGAGAGAAAAAGAAGGAGAGTCAATGCTGAAGACACATATTGTCAGGAATGCTATTATAATCTTAAGATTCAAGGTTTATACCTTGTAAAATGGTGGAATGAACTGCATCAATTGAGTTGTTCAATTTACCCAGAGCCCCAAAGCCTTTAGAAACCTGAAGTGTTAAGATATGACTCTTTGACCTTTACTGTATTACAAATAGGTCTGATTCTCAAGATCCACATCCATTAAATGCTTGAATGAGTTCAGTATTTATTGTTCTTTCATCTCATTAAAACAGCTAAAAGGTTAGGAAAAGGCATAATGTAAAGAAAGGTCAAGTGGTAATCATGGTGTGAAATGCCATTACACATGTAAGTATAATAATTCTTTGGACTTATGCTCCCTGGAGAGGAAGTTATTCAAAACTGTTCACCTAAAAAGGTTTATTTTGTGTTAAATATAGCTCAACATCAGTAAATAGGAGAATTAGACTGACCTTTAGCTCCTCTGCATCTGCAATGGCCTTTTCTTGGCTCAGTTTCTCAGTCTGAAACCCTATCTTAGCAATCAAAGCTTCAGTACCTTGATTTTTCAGTTGCAGTTCTGCCTCTTGAGTAGCAAGTTTGGATTTTAGATCTTCTACCTACAGGGCAAAAGGTAATGCATTATTCAGAACATTAGGCATGGTTCTGAGATCCAATAGCTGAACTGAAAACAAAACTCATGTTTTGTGGGTCGCTAACAAGGAGCATTGTCTTTTCATTTTTTTAATGTTTTTTCCCATTTGTACCAGACAGAATTTTGTGGACATAAATGATTTAATAATGGCAGCCTAAGCACACCGACCACAGACCCCAGGGCTCACCTGAGATGCTCAGATGTCTGTCCTGCTGCTGAGGCTGGGGCTGCAGTCAGATATTGCAGCGGTGCAAAGGAGGCGCAGCTGCTGCCCGCGGCAAAGGCACCAATGCAAGGGCAGAGGGATGCCCTGAAAAGTGCTTGGTATTCACTCTGAGCAGATAACTCCAGCAGAGCCTTGCTGAAAGGATGAGGCATACTCTGAGACTGCTGAACAAAAACTACCTGTTATTGTGCTGAAATAGCAATTCATTGCCTGCCAGTTGAGAAACTCATATAAAAATATCCAGCAACAATATCTCCTCACATATAAAGAAACTTTTTCAAATAACTGTGAGTTTGGCATGGTTTGGTTTTTTTTTTTTATTTTTCTGCTAACCTACCAATCATTTTGTCCAGCAGCTAATCAAGATATATTTTAACCAGAGGAGTCTTGGTAATGTGATCTGGATAGGGGTGATAAAACAAAGTGGAAGACAAATGTTAGAGGGTTTAAACTTTAATCATACAGAAGCTGTTGAGGACTCTCGTGATTTGGTGGGCTCCTGAAATCCTACAAAATGAACCAAATTTACCTTTTCAAAATTTGACCATTTGATTTGACAGAGCTGTAATACTGAATTTTACCAGATGACTGTAGAGATCCCAAATCTCTCCACTTATTTATTGTTCAATTTGTTTGAGCTGACTTTATGTCTTTTTCTTTAAGGAAAATACTAAACAATGCTTCATTTGATATTCTTCTGTAAAGCTCCAGAGTGCAGAGTAAAAATGGCTCAATGTTCAAGTGCCTGGCTAGAGATAGTGGCTGGAGCTGTGGGTCTGTCAGCCAGAACGGCATGCAGCACATGAAATTGTCCAATTACCATTTGGGCCTCATCAAATTAGAAATCAGAGAAAAAAGAGAATGTTAATAATTTACTACCAGGGGCTACTTTATTAAAAACAGACTTTAAAAACTCAGCCACTCTTTTCTGTTGACCATTTTTTGGAAGGCCTTCAGCTGACCAAGTGGGAATAAGCCAGCCAGCTCCCATTATTAACCTCGTGCAGCAGCATCAAGATGCAATGTTATGCAAAGCCTGCAGTTGAGCAGTTCATTTGCATAAAAGCACACAGAATTTTAGTTTTTAATAAAGAAATCGCTGGATTATGATTTGTCTTCAGAATTTGCAAAGGGGATTAGGGAACATGTGTGTGGGTAGGATGGGGTGAAGGCTTCTAAGCAGTTTCCCCTCCTTTCTGTCTTTGTGGGTTGGTCAACCCCCAATGAACTCTAAGCAGAAGCACTGACTGGGGCGAAGTGGCACTAGCCTCACAAGCAGGTGACAGCACCTCATGGAAAGGCTTCACACATATTCCTCCTGCTTTCACTACCCCTCAAAATTCACATGTATGGAGCTGCTTCTTCTCTTTCCCTGGATTTAGCTTTTACTGAGGCACTTGCTTCCTTCCCACAGTAGCCCCACTACATTCCCCCTACCTCTAAACTTTGTCCTTGCTTAAATAGATTGTCTCCTCTCTCCAAAGGCAGCTAAAAAGCTCAAAGAGCTTCTACTAAAATAAAAAAAAGGGGGGGGGGGGGGAATATAAATATATAAACTCCAGCTTCAAAAATCAGGTAGTGTCAATGAAACACAAAAATGCCACTCCACAACTAATCAGTCTAATGAAAAGGTGATGATGATTTGCAATAAAACAAAGATTATTTATAAAGAATGAAAGAAAATGATGTGACTGTCACAGTTTACCTGGAAAGCTGCTGGCTTCCCTCTTTCTGAAGAAAGTTTCTGCATGCATTTACCAAGTGTTCCACATGTCATGACAGCCTCTTGTTTTGTATTTTGTCCAGGAGGACATTATAAAGCATGATTTACTCCAGAAAACTATTTGGAGTGGTGTAGTTGCACTGCCTATTGTACTTGGCACTCAGGACATTCACACTGGTGTGGGCAGAAGCCATAAAATCCCCATCAGCCGTGGAGTTCTGGATGAGTGGCTGTACATACCCAAGGAAAAAGAACAAATGGAAACACAGGAACAAAGAAATGCTTCCAAAATTAAGTATATCTATATAAGTTGTTTCTAAGAATGGCTCATTCACAAAACTCTCCTTCAATCTACCTTAAATATAATGCTGTCATTCACAAAACTCTCCTTCAATCTACCTTAAATATAATGCTGTCAGCATGTAAAAAACATTAAAGCAAAATGAGCCTTCCCTAGCTGTTTTGCATATAAATTAATTAATTTTGCAGTGGCATTCATCATCACCACAGAAGCTCAGTCCTTCAACATACTTTATTATTTTTTTAATAAAGACTCCTAAAAACTAGGAACAGAGTTTAAACCATTTCACTATACTGCTACATGCAGAGTTAATATTCTATGGATTTTCTACTTCACCTCTGGAACTCCTGTCGAAGAGAAATCTTCTGTAGGTTAAAGGAATACAGTAGAGTCGTTGCTCTAATCACACTGGTCCTCACACACTTCATATATCATCAAATTCCTGTTTAGAGTGAAGTGTATTTTTGCCTTCAGCTTCAGTTTTAACAGAACTGGACACCACAATTTATATTTCCAAAGTTGTACCACCCCTGCTTATCTGTGCTTCTGAAAGATAGACTAACAAACTCGAATGAGGGTAGGATTTAGACCACTGTGGAGTTCTCCCCCTAAAAGTGAGCCTCTAGATACTATAAAATGTCAGAAAATCAGCAGCATTTTTGTGCTAAAATTACCTTCTATCAGCTTCAAGGGGTACTAAGCAGAAAGGTAGCTATTTCTCATGGGGTTCAGATTCACTCCCAGCTGTGACAGTGGAGGCTCTTCCCTATGTGCCAGCCAGGCATCAAACCACCAACCACAACCCCAGCTGCCAGCAAATCTCAGCACACTGCAGAAGGGGGCCCAGAGCTCTGGTGTGGCCCTGTGGTGGGTCCCACACAGCACCACATGCGGTTTCTCTCTCACCACAGAGACCAAAAGGCAGCTGGAGACCGGAAATTTCTCTTCACATACTATGTAAAAATCAAAACAGGCCAGGCACATTTAAAACAGCTCCAGATGGCCATTGAGTCATGTGTTTCTGAGGAAAATGAACAGATAAAATGCCTGTCTTTATTCACCTCTGACAGCAAGAAGAGGGGTTCAGGATCAAAGTTCAAAGGTTCATTTTCTAAATTTGTTGAAAACTGGACTAGCAAATACAAGATATCACTCCAGTCCTTTGAATTACAGTATACTTTCCCAGGATAAACAAATAGGAAATCTCCAGAATTAATTTTTTTTTGTTTCAAAGGACCCTATCTACATATACTAATAGCATAAATTCACATACATGTCTAAATAAGAGTACTGTATGCAAAATTAAAAGGGAAATACTAAGAAAACCCATTTAACTTCATCATTGTAACTAACTTTCATTTTGTCCTCTATGACTTCTAGCACATTTAAACTTTGTCATTTGTGGAGTCACATCTCCCTCATTTTAATGATTATTTATTGCATTCTCTACAAGACGAACCCAGTTCAATTAATCAAGGGAAGCCTAAAAATCAATTAATATGAATTAAATGAGCTACACCAACTCTTAGGAAAGTCACACATAATTTACCAAAGCATTGTCAATAATGCTTAGGGAACTTTGGGAAAATTGCTCATGAGTGGCTGTTGATGCAGTCAAATGTTTTAAGCCTACATCATTAATATTACAATCAGGTTGATGCAGAAAGGCTTGCCGTTTTTCTCAGTAAGAAAACTCATTATTTCCTTGTGCCTTTTCAGAGCTAGTTTAGAAGAATACTTATTTCACCTGTGATCAGAAAGACAGAAATTAAAGCAAGAACTAAATAAAGAATGATTTGCATTTAGGGAAAGCAGAGGCAAATTGCTCTACAAATAGGAAAAAACCAGAACATCATTAGTGGAAGCAATGTAGTACAAATTCATCTTTTAGAAAATCGTTTGTAAAAGCAAGGCTAGTCAGCAGGAATAGACATTTCATGCAGATTAGAGCAGCATTTAGCTTGCAACTGAAATGCATTTCAGCCCTTTTCTCCTTTTTTCATTGTTTGCGACACACACGCACCCTGCAGTACAGCTCTTCCCAGTGAAAGACAACCTCCTCACACATGATCCTTATGAGAGGTCTCTACTCAGCAGCCCTGAAAGGCCCTCTAACAACAGTTTCATTTGTAAATCAGTGAGGGACGGAGTGGGTTCCGGTGGAGCTGGAAGTGGCCCGAGACAACTCGTCTCAATGGGGCAAAATAACTATTGTTATGGAGCTTAACAAAATGGCACAGCATGGGAGCCACGCCGAGCCAGAGAGCAGCTGGTTGTAATTCACACTGGTTTTCAGAAAACACTAATCGTTCCCGAACAGACCTCTTTGAGGATTGGTCTTCCCTGCATTTTCAATTTGTCACTTTCTCTTATGATAAGGTCAGCGGTGACAGCACTTCCTGACATTAACAGCTGTGGCTTTTAAAAGGGTCATTGTGGAACTACTAATTGCAGTAATTTCATTAGCATAAATTATTTATTCTGCCATTCATTTATCTCCAGGATTTTTTTTTATAATACTACATTGTACTTTTCAATATATGCCCATTCAGGGTTGTAGGCAAAGGAAATTATTATTGCTAATTTGGCCTTCTTTATAGGGGAAAAAAAAAAGCAAACAAAAAAGAGTTGATACAGTAACAAAATCTGATTTAACAGCAGTTCACTAGAAAACATAAAGTAGCTTGAAGCCAAAAATGAAGATTAGGCTGGTAC